CAGACCTGCCAGCTTTCCTGAGCTCCTTTGCCCCCTATGGGAACCGCCTGACCAGGCCAGAGCAAGAAGATGTCTGCCCTCCTGAGGGCTGGGCTCTGTGCTCTGCTACGTGCTCACTGCCTCCACCAGTGGAGTCAGCCGCCACTCTCTCCCAGGCACTACAGCCAAGGCTGCCATTGATTATCACAACCGCAGCCAGCTCTTCCTGGATCACGAATGGCATGTCCCAGAGGGCTTCACACCTGGCTGGCCCATCCAGTGGCTGTGCTGAGAGGTTATCCCCAAGGCCCTCCAGAAAGCTCTGGGATTGTTGCACCCCACGGTGTTGCTCTCCCAGCAGATCTTGGGGACCTTGAGGCTCCCCACGTCTGTAACCTGGAGACTTCCTCAAGTTGCTTAAACCGGACTGTGCCCATCTGTTCACCTGAGGAGGTGGTGGGGGCACACTCCCACCACGATGTCCCCCTTACTGGCCTCTCCCTGGTCCTGACCCAGAGGCTCCAACCAGCCCGTCACCGGTCTCCTGTTTCCTAGGAGCACTTGAAATGCTCAGGCCAGCTCTGTATACCACCGGGTCTGCTGCTCTGCCTGGGTGATGACCTTGGAGCTGCAGACCCACAGCGAGCCCCTTCCCAGCCGGCTGACACCCACCTCTTCTTCTCTGTGCAGCGAGATGCCAGCAGCCCCAGTGGGACCCAAGGCTCCACTTTGCCCCAGAGCAGAGATTTTACAGGCTTAATGAAGAGCTGACACTTAGCTGCCTTGCCGCGGATGCTCCTCCCCTTGCTGTGATCAGATGTGCAAAAGAGAGATCTCCAGATCTGAGGGATACCTGGGAAGTGAGAACCATGTTGGGAGCCTGGCATCACATAGCAGAGAACCTGACTTGCGTGGGTAAGTGGAAGAGCAGCAGCTTTCCCCTGCTGCATGCTGTTCTCCCAAGCAGGGACCCTGGGCAGCCTACCACGACTGTGGGATGTGTGGACCTCAGCTTGGAGATGGGTCACAGCTGGGAGCAGTCTCCAAGCTGGTTGGATGCATGGGGGGTTGGGGAGGGACAGAAGCCTTCTGTGTGGGACAGCTTTTCTGACTGTCTCTGCATCTCCTCCCTGCTCTTTCCTGAGTCACAGGAGATCACCGCAAGAGCTGGAGAAGGAGAGAGTGATGGAGGGACTGGGAAATCGGAGGCTGTGGGGAGGTGCTTCCCATCATGAATGGTCATGTGAGGAGAAGAGCAGACGCCAGGGCTGGTTCCCACTGTGGGCTCCTGCATGCAAGGTGGTCGTGTGTCCAGTCTAACGCCCTGCGTCCTTTAATTGGCCCTGCTGCGGCGATGCACAAGGTGGACTGGACAGAAGTTAGTGCAAACTGGGCAGAGGCCATGGAGAGCTTGGGGGAAAATGAAGGTGGTAGCAGGGAGCCCAGTGGCCAAACCCTACCCCATTCTTCTCTCTCTGAGTGTCCTCCATCACTGCTGTGTCCAGGCACACGCTCCTATCCTGTGCTCGGGACGTGTCCTGGTGGTGTTGACTGCCAACACCAACTGCCAGTTGTGGCACAGCTGCAGCCCCCCTGTATGAGCATCTCCTCGACCCAACACAGGAGCTGACGCTTTCTCTCTAGCAGGAAAGTGCCCAAAACCCCAGGGGGACCATCACCTCCGGTTTTCACCAAAGAAAAGCCATTACGAACTGAATGAGGAACTGACGCTCACCTGCCCTGGAGATCTGGAGCCATCCTTCACCCACGTCAGATGTGCAAGGGAATTTCTGCAACTGAGCTCTGGAAAGCCAGTATATGACAATGCCTGGTGGGGGAGGAACAGCACAGGTGGCTGGATTCGTACTGGGAGCAGCATGGTGTGTATCGGTAAGCGATGAAGTAGCAGCTCTCCTGAGTCCCCTCTCAGCCTTGACCCACGATGGCCATTCGTGATGCTGCCCAGCTGAGTGCCAGGCATGCCACAGTTCCCCCTTGCTGCTGTGTGTCCTGTGCGTGCTGGTGGAAGAGGCCAGTCAAGGCACAGGAGACGACTTCCCGCAGGCAGGCAGGCAGGCAGGCAGGTCCTGCAGTCCTTTCTGAGGAGGCCAAGTGTGGGGCCCTGCGGATGTGGTGCCAGGGCCTGGGGCAGGATTGGAGGTTCTCACCAAGGTGCCTGCTGAGGTGCCACCCCAGAAGGTGGAGGTCTGTCCCATTCCTGTCACCTGCCTGCCCATGCAGTTGAGGGATGGGAGACATCTGCTGTGGCCCCTGCAGCCGGGCTTGAGGGGACCAAAGTGAGCCCTGAGTGGCCAGTGCTCGGATGGCCCTCAGCATCTGGGCTGGCGGCAGTGGAGTGACACCCGTGGGGAAGAGCGATGCCCTCCCTCAGGGGCTGCTGGGTGTGGAGCTGCCCCGGCAGGCACAGAGCTTGGCCGAGTGCAGGGTTGGCTGCATGTGGCAGCCCAGAGTGCAGGGGAGGTGGGACAGGGACAGGGAGCCACCCTGCATGCTGCGTGAGCCTTCGGTTCCCTGGGCTCGCTCTCTGCATCTCAGGGCAGGCAGGGCAACGGCAGGAGGATGCACCAGATCAGCCTCTGCGCAAGGAGTGTGACAGGCAACAGGGCTCTTCAGCTGGACAAGGCTGTGGAGTAGATGTGCTAGAGCGTGGGGTGTGTTGATCCGGTGCTTCATGGTCCTGGGAAAACTCCTTGCGGCATGAAGTGGTGGAGAGCTCCAAGTGTCAATGGAGATGAGAGCAGAGCAGGGAAGTTCATGGATAAGTGATTGGTCGTGGTGCCTTGCTGCAAGAAAAGCCTCTTCCCTCTTGGTCTGCTGGGGGTGTCAGGCCCCGGCCGATGGGTGTGTCGCCATTGCCTCTGCCTTGGGGGGCTGAAATCTGTCAGTGGACCTGAGGCTCCTGGGTACAGTTTTACTGGGGTGTGGGATCAGCTTCTCAGCCCTGACGCTCTGCAGTGCATGCCGTGCAGGTGAGGGAGGGCACAGAAACTAGCGGTTGTGCCCCTTCTTCCAGCTCAGTGAGGGTGTGTCTGAGTGCAGGTGGTGGCAGGAGGGATCCAAGCCCAGGGGACAGTTTCCCACACGGTCTGTGCAGAGAGATGCTTGAGAGGCCACGAGGCAGCGATGGTGAGGGAGTGCAATTTTGGAGGCGGGGGGGAGGGGGAAGGTCCCGCATCACCCATGGTAAGGTGAGGTCAGCAGAGCAGCACACACCAGGGCTTCTTCCTGTTGTGGGTTCCCGCCTGCAGGGTGGCCGTGTGTCCAGTCGGGGCTGCTTTGTCCTTTCATCAGTGATACCTAGACTTGTGCATTGTCATGATATGGCCACAATGTGCAGTGGCCGTGAGGACCTTGGAGAAAGTGAGGGTAGCAGCCTGGAGCCCAGTGGTCTAATCCTGCTCTGTTCATCCCTTTAAGGGTCCTACATCGCCTCCGTGTCCAGGCACAAGCTCCTGTCCAGTGCTCAGCAGAATCCCTTGCATTTCCTCGCTGTGTTGATGCTAAAGACATCCCAGGACCCTCCCAGCCCCCACTAACACGCACGCTTTTTTCTTTGACAGTAAAATGCCCAAAGCCCCAGTGGGACTCTCGGCTTCAGTTGACACCAGAGCAGCAAGCCTACAGGGTGAATGAAGAAGTGAAACTGAGCTGCCCTGAGGGATATCAGCCATCCCTCCCCCAGGCCACATGCAAAAGGGTCCTTCAGATTATGAAGAATGGGAGACATCTGCCCAAAGGTGTTTGGAGAGAGAAATCCAGTACAGGCAACTGGATGTACATTCAGAGGGACGTGGAGTGTATTGGTAAGTGGGTGAGCAGGAGGTGCTCCTCTGGAGCCCTGTGCTCAAATCCTGCCCCCTTCATCCCTCTCTGAGCTTCTCTGGACAAGCTTTGTGCATTGCACGGTTCCCTGCCTGCTGCGCAGAGTCCCAGGAGCTGCCAGCTCCCTCTGGCCTTTCCTGGGAGGCCTGGGGGGAGCAGTGTGGAGCTCTTCTTCAGCTCAGCTCCTGCCTGGGGATGTGGTGCGCGAGGGCTCCTCCTCGGTGCTGTGTCCCAGAGCTCCCTCCCTCCCTCGTCATGCCGTGCCAGGGAAGGGGATCACCCCCTCCACCCTGTGGCACGCTTGGGCCAGCCAGGGCAGGCAAGTGACACATGCGTTGTTAGTGTTGTAACTGGAGATAGAGAATGATGCAGGAAGAGAGTTGAGAGAGATGAGGTTGGAGCCATAACCTGGCAGGTTGTGGTGAAGGCTGGGCAGAGGTGGGCCCCTTGGTTACATCAGCAGCTGTACCTCCTCACGGCCATGTCCTGTCAGATCAAAGCAGTGGCTTTGAACCTGAAGTTTGACTGAAAGGGGACAGTCCCCTCAAACAGCAGGAAGCAGCCCAGAAAGTCATGCCCAGCTTCTTGGCACACTGTGATCCCAGAAGAGCTGTGTTATCTCTCTGGCAGCGAGTGACAAGGCATCGGGGCAGGGGGGCATCTGCCATGCCTTTGGGAGGGAGGAAGAGCCATGGCTGGAGAGAGCTGCAGCCCAGCAGCAGTGGCCATGCATCGGGGCTGGGAGGACAGGCTGACCTGGGGGCTGGTGTGCGGTCAGCAGCCTATGCTGGGAGGGCGGCAGGTGAAAAGGAGTGGAAGGAGGGGAGGCCTGCTCTTGCAGGGGTGATTCTCTCAGGAATCTTTGTTGCGGGGTGTGGTGGAGGGCTAAGGGTGTCCATGGGCACAAGGGCACAGCAGAGAAGTTCATGGAGGAGTGGTCAGTCCTGCTTCATGTGCACAAGGAGAGCTACCTCCCACCAGGCCTGGCTGAGGTGTCCTGTCATGACCAAGGGACGTGTCACCTTCCCCTCTCCCTTTAGAGGACTAGACTCCATCAGAGCTGATTCCTACACCCCCATCATCCCCCGTGCCCCACCTGGTCACCCCACAACCCTGACTAACATGCACCACCCTTTGCCTCTGCCAGAAGCGTGCCAACATCCCCAGTGGGATCGAAGACTCCAACTGGTACCGGACCGGAGATATTCAAAACCCGTCTGGATGTGATCCTGGGCAATATGCTCTAGAGGCCCCTGCTGGAGCAGGGAGGTTGGACTAGGTGGTCTCCAGAGGTCCCTTCCAAGCTAAACCATTCTGTAACCCTCTTGCAATGTTTCCTTCACAGAACTTCTCCAAGTTGTCCCTGGGTCCTGGGAGGTTTCCGCCACCAGCATCAAACTGAACTGGACCTGCAGGTTCCCTGACGCCTGTCAGCACATGCGGGCCACGTGCCAGCTTGTCGGGCCTGCCTTCCCTACCTGTGAGGCTGAGGATGTCAGGGGAGAGAAGCTGCTACGGGGCCAGAAGGGAACGTTTACCTGCGCCCCTCTGCAGCCCTTCACAGTCTACAGCATCACCATCTCCTTGCCCCCCAGCACAGTCCTGTTCACATGGCAATTCCAGACAGAGGAAATGGGTATGTGTCCATGGGCGAGTGCATCAAGGTCAGCACAGCGCTGAGCTGCACCACAAGCGGGGGAGGTTGGGAAATGCACCTTTCCATCTGCAGCTCAAGGCAGGCATCTGCTTGCTGTGGTGATGGTCCTGAGAGTCAGGCCTGCGGGGATTTGGGGCAGGGGCTGTGCAGGGCCCTAGAGCAGAGCACATGCCCTCCTCACCCTCCGCGACGCACAAGCTGCAGCAGTGCAAGCTTTGCCCTGCTTGGGTGCAAAGCCTGCTTGGGGGGGAGGGGGGAGAAGGGGGTCAGTTTGCAGCCTGTCCCCTGGGCCAGCAGCTGCCTGCACCCTGCTCTGGGCTCAGACCCCTCCCTCGTCAAGCGCATAACTCCATCCTCCTG